GATTACTTTTACTCTAGCCTTTCTTCTGTCTATTTTTGACATCAATGATAATGTCTTTTAACTTAAGCCTTGGACTATATTTTGGTAGAATCTTTGTCAATAGTTCCAGATTAGAAACTGCCTTTGCTCCCATTTTCTCTATCTGATCTTTTCAATATTCCTTTTCTCCAATGGAAACCTGCGATTTGCAAAAGTGTATAATTTTTTTAAAAAAAAGATGGAGCATCCATAATAATCTTTAAGGCAAATATCACTGTAATATTTACTCGAACATGGAAGATTATCAGAAGGAAATTTATATTTTTCAATTAATTTAAATTTTGAAAATCAGGACATGAACTAATTCAAATTAAACAGAGAAAAAGAAAAATAAGCATAGAATTAGTATTAACGGCTTGTGAGGAGGACAAGCTCAACTTTTAATAATATTTGAAAGGTAAATTAGAAATAAGAAAACTAGAATGAAACAGTATTACTTACCTAAATGGGAATATATTTTCTTTCACGGAAATAAACAAATACAACGTTTTAAATAAACGCCAGTTACTTCGAAAATACGGAATTATGTAAATTAAAAAAAATGTTTACTTTTTTTTTCAAATAATTAAGTCTGTTGTATAAAAATAGAATTAATTTTATAATAACAAAAGAAATGTTTATAGATAATAGCCAACGACAGAATGTTTTGATACAAGATTCACAAACGAAATATATTTATTTTACTACTGTTGATTTTAAAATGAAGACAATTCTTTTTCTTATGGGTTTTTAAGCGTGAACATACTGTATTTAATCTTCATTTGGCCTTTATAAAGTAAATATTTTGTTTCATGGAAATGTTGCGATTGGAAAACATTTTATTACATTACATTTCATTTACACATTTATTTTCCATAAGGGTACGGAAGTTTTTGACTGCGTTAAAACTTTCACTGATCACCGGAATGAAATTCCAACGCACCAAATTTTAAACTAAACTTAATCTTTAAACTCGTTTCCTTGAAAATTCGGAAACGATTTTGAAAAAAAGTAGTTTGTGTCGTTATTTATTATATCAATCCACAACTTTTGAGTTGAGTGCAATACCACGATTCAAAAATCGACCTACCCTAATGAAGACGCTAATTAAGAAAATGTTATAAAATTACCAATGACTTTTAAATTTGTTATAGTTAGAGCCCCTATATTCTGATAATGTCGTGTATGAACGTCTGAATTTACAAAATTCGGCACGTTTATTCACATAAAAAAATAAAATTATTTTCAAATATTAGGGGTTGCTGAATTGTAAACTTTTCGATTTAAAATTAGTAAATATAGTTTTTATTAAATAACAATATCACTTATCACAATTTTAAAAGATTTAAAACTTTCTGCATTATTATAATGGAATATTTAAAAAAATGAAAAACAATTCTTGCAAAAATTCATTATTCTTTGAAATAAAATGTTTAATTAACATAATAATCTCCATAAAATCTTCTTAAAAGCTTTTCTAATTAAATGTCTTACTTTTATTTCATTTTTTTTTTAATGTTTGCAATAATAGCAGATTTTCTGTACATGGCAGTCCAGTTTGAATTCTCCGATGAATATTCCTTATTAAGCTTTATTAAAATGAATGTCTCGAAATTTTATTAAATTAAGTGGCGGTGGCAGACGTAAAAATATTTTTAAGAAGATTTTCTAAAAAAAGAAACGGTTTTAAAATAATTTATTTATTTTGAATAAGACCTGGAATTTCATTAAAATCCGACAAAATATTTGAGTTTTGCTAGAATTTCCAAATCAATGTTTTTAACTGCAAAAAATTTCCTATCCTAAATTGTTTCCCCGCTGACGTAAGAAAAAGAAAGTTTTTCATTGAAATTTTGTACGTTCTACAAAGGATTAAAAAAACATAACTTACTAATACAAAACTTCTTTGGTCTTTCTTCTAATAATAATAACCTACACATTTTGGCGATAAACTCTTGTTTTGATTAAGTTTGGGGTATTTCTTTTCATCATGGTATGCTTATCGTTTAGCGAAACTTTGGGTGTACCTAACTTAATGCTTTGACTAGTCATACTAAAGAATGTTCATTTTTGAGTCAACAAATATTACAGCGACCATTTCCTTTGTTCCTAGTAAAGCTTGAGTCTCTTATTTGAATTTCAATCAGTATTCATATGAGGATGATTGAGAGATATTTTAGATACAATCAACCTAAACATTGATTTATTCAGAAGTTACTTTTTACAACAAAATTATTGCAAATTCGTTGAGGGAATAAAAGCAAAATGGGAAAAATAACATCTAGAAATTTACTGAAGATAAATACATTTTCTACTATCAGTTATATTTTCAATATGGTTTCGCCTTAATTTAAAGTGGAAAATAATCTTCAATGAAATATTTCAACTGTATTTTGTTTTAGTCCTACATGGCTATACTTTACCTTAGAATTTTCAAATGTTCTACAATCACTAATTAATGCGAAGAATAAAACAATGATCGAAGATCAAAACCAGTTATTCCAAGAGGATGTCTCTGTTATGAATTTTAACCACTTTGAAATTCAAAATAATTCGTTCAGATTCAGTGAAGTGTTGTCTTACTGTTAACGGTTAATATAAATGGAAAATATCGATTTTGGATCCATTTTATCTTTTTTCGAATTTGAATTCGTTTGGCCTAAACAAAAGCCGAGAGGCTTTGTCAGACATTGTAAGGAGAAAATCCGAAAAGCAACAAAATGCGAACATCTTTGCTTTCAGCAGTTGAAACCATAAAAACAGAAGAAAGCTCAAATTTGAAGACAAAAAGAAGAAATCAAAGAAAAAAAAATTATTAGTACATATTTTTATTTCTTTATTTAACTTGTCAGCCATTTTTTGTCGGCGGATTCTGGAGCCTGGGATATTTTACGACTAATATTATTGGAACAATAAAAATCTTATCAGTTTTAATTTTAGGCAACCGTGCGTTTGATTATCGGAGAAAACACGTGTTACAGTACAATGCTGCCGACAGAATCAATAGGATCAGTTATATTACCTAACCTCATATTCCGAAAATATCGAAACTAAATGTATTTCTCATTTCTCAGAAGATAAATGCAAGGTCGCGAATGAAATGTAAATATTTGATCTTATGTCGATTTTATATTTACTTATATCGATTTTATATTTACTTTTACCGATTTTATATTTACCTAAATACATTTTATATTTACTTACATCCAATTTATATTTACTTATATACTTTGGATACACATACAGAAGCCACATGAATAAAATACACAGGCATTCACAAACCTGCAAACGTTCCTCTTCAATGTATAAAATTTTGTGACTTCCGTTAGTCCGTCCGTACCTCACGCCCTCTAAAATAGCCACACATTGACTGATCGAAATCAAAGTGCAAACAGATAAGGGGGTACAATGTACACTTGGTTTTACTAGGGTGCGTAGCTAAGTACAATAAATTTTAGAAAAACTAAAACTTTTATTATTATTTAACATACAAAATACTCTCACTATTTAAAAAAGCAATTTAATGATTAAAATAACAAATACTTATTTAATAAAAATGCAATATTGTTTTGCATGTCATTTCCTTAAGTTCTTATATACAGGAATCTAGTTTCCAGTTCGTCTTGCGTTTGAGAGAAGTATAAACAAAACAAAAGGCACACTTCAAAAAGTATGGCAAGTTGTATTTTGCATCCTTAAGAGTAAGAAATTCTAAGAATTTGCTGTTAAAAAGGGAAAATAAATAAATCTTCTTATAAATTATTGTTTACAATGAAGTCCTATAAAATTAAATTAAAAAAAAAAAATTTAAACTGCGTAGTAGGGTTTTGTTAAAGTATTTTTTCCAAACAAATCAGCTTATTCAAATTTCACCGATTGGTTTTTGAAATTGAAACGAAACGTAGAGTTCACAGATCTTGACAAAAAATGTTAGCGATAACTTCAGCAATACTAAATACTGTGAGGATTTTAACATGCGTCAATTTGTTACAAAAAATTCTAGTCTAGAATATTGTAACATTTTAAATAAAGAGGAGGTGGCACTATCGCTTTATTGGAAATGTTGGTTAGAAAAAGAAAGAGATGTCCAACAAAAGAAACAGATTCTTTATCAGAAGTCCTCAGACCACTTTTAGGGCTCTATCCTACAAACCTTAAAGTGTTCGATGCCTGAGTATTCAGAAGAATAAAGAGATTTTCTATCTGTATCCTCACCAGATGCCATCTGCATGCATACTGTTTCCTGTCTCTATAGATTACTTGATAAAAAGCACATTAACACAAGGTGTCTTCCTATATGGTCCCATGACACACGTCATGTGTTTAGTCGTGTTTTATTTTAATTACATCATGTACTGAATACAATAGACGTAGCATTGGATAAAATCATTCATAATCTTCTTTGTTCAAGTCAAGTTTCTTGTAAGCACACATATTCATTAATCTTACAAAACAGAAATCACATACTTATGTGTGTGCATATAAACAGGAACTATGCTTATATGAATTCTTAACTATATGTAGTTCTTAATTCTTTAACTACATATAAACGGTTTGGAATGAGTACGGGCCAATGGAGGGAAGGGAAAATATGTTGTCTGTATAAGGATAACAATATATTAATGTTTCTGTCTGAAGTTTGGGGATGAGGAGTTATTATTTGCATTATTTACATGGAGACTATTGTGATATCAACAACAAAGATAAGGACAATAATCCGACGGTAAATAGTGTAAATAATTTTGTATTGTGTATATATAGACAGCATGTGATATCTGGGAAAATAAAATTAGCAGATCATAAAAGGGACATAAAAAGCGCAATAATCTGGACGTAAAAAAAATAAAAAAATAATATAGCAGCTTCTAACTACCACAGGAACAAAGACGCTGCTTGTGTTACTAAACGTCAACGACAGAGACTCAAAGAAAGTCAGCTTCCTGAAATAAAGTAATGACAGGTGCTTGTTCACTGGCGAGGGCTTACGGTCATAATCACGTTGGAACGCCAGTTCTCGTACGATCACCGAAGTTAAGCAACCACGAGCCTTGTCAGTACCTACATGGCTGGCCGCTTGAGAATATCAGTTGCTGTAAGCATGAATGAACGGGCGGTTTACTGGAAAACGACTCGGAATTAGAAACCAGAGAGCCAAGTTCTAATTCCAGTCAGGTACTTTATGTTCACTTACGCGCAAATACCCTTGAGAAAGGCATGAATTCACTTTTTCTCCCCCTAGACATGGGTTAATTAGTAGAACTTGTATCAGTAAATCGTTATTATTTCCCAACAAATTCTTCCATTCTAAAAACATTTTCTGACTTTAAATAACCTGCAAAGTTTGATAAGCCGTTAAAAAGTAAATGAACCAATCATGTTCATTGACGGTTTCTTAATGTTATTCTCAAATAAATAGTGCGCCTTGTAATTGTTTTAGATGTGCGTGTGTGTCTGCACGTGAAATCTCAATATCAGTTGTCCTGAGTGGATAAATGAAAATTAAAGAAATGAGCAAGTGAAGTGTGACTCAAATCCACTTGGATGAATGAACAGAACGATTCGAGAAATTATCTCCCGCTAATATGAAAACAATGTCATAAATGATTGATGTTTGTGTTTCCTGACGGCGTTAAATGCCAAGTGAGCACATGTCAGCCTCTTCCATTTCTCGCTCTCAAAACAATTACAACTTTTCCTTCTTATTCTCATTTTTCTTCATTCAAATGACTACCGAAATTTTATGATTAGTAAAATGATGAATTATATTTTAGAAGTCAAATTAAGTCGACGGAAATAAATTTAGAAAAGATGTCAGTGTGGATCATCGAACCGATAGCCAACAATAGTATTAACAAAATAAGAAACGAATTTAAATATTCTGCATTAAAATAACAAAATATATAATGAAAGAGGTCGGAGGAAAAACATTTATGGTTATCTTATTCTGCGACTGGCTTTGAAAAGAATTTCAAAATCAACGTCAAATGAAACTCGTTATCTCATTAGAAAATCACTCTTACTTTGCCCAAAACATCGATTTACGATAATGTTTAAAATATTTCAACTGATATAAAAATATTGATTACTTAATCATTTTGAATATTTCGCTCTAAAAGTTTACGTTAAATCAATTTTTCTTTTTCCTGTAGCCTTTTACTTGTCAAGTTCTTCCGCCTATTTCAATGTTATGTGGGCGTCATCATTCAAAAGTGGTTGTATATCCAAATATTTGTGGTCTTTCATTGCGTTGTTTGTTTTCTTTGTTTCTTGAACCTCGCAGAACATTCGCTTTACACGCTGTTTTTTAACAAACATTCAATTATGTTTATATTTTCCCATCATGAAGTAGACGATCATGACCCTCCACATCTTCCTGTCCCTTGTAGCTCTTAATACGTTTTGTCATTTTGCTATTTCTTCCAAACCCTGTTCTGCCACCCATTTACTCAAGCTTATCAAATATAATGCGCGCTGCTTTCCTTTGTCATTCAATCTGTTCTGTGAGTATCAGGTTTTCCAATACCTCGTTCCTCATTACGTTCCACAGAATTTTCAACTCTCTCTTCCTGATGTTAAGTATAAGTTTCATTTATGTATCCATAATCGCCAAAACCTCGTTATTGCTCACATGCTCGGTCAGTGGTATCCTCATCATCTTTCTGTAGAACCACATTTCTGATGTTTCACTTCTCTTTTTTTTTTTACCTCTGAGGAGATTGTCAGGCATTCAATGCTGTACAGGAGAGCATATATCACGTAAAAGTTCAGTAGTCGTTTCTTTAGTTCTCGTAATTTGAAAAGGAACAACACGCACTCTTGAAGATGCACATTGTCCATCTCTATTTTCTGTTTCCTTTTTTTACACATGATTCAGAACACACGCAACTGTTTTTCAAATGTGTATTCAGTCTCAACTTAAGAAAAGTGTTATGAAAACTATTCTCTGTCAAATATAATTTATAGAAGGCTGCAAATTCTTGATTCCTAGCATCTTTTATCCGAACCAAAATTTTAGAATGCTAATATCTAAGGCTGGCAATTTTCTGTCCCTAGTCTGGATCGAAGAAACTATAGTATAAAACTTGGAACGATTCTCTGTCGTCACGCTTTGTTTGCCTAGTACCTGCATACGCCAATGTAATGTGTGCGCGTATGCCTGTGTTGTGCGTATGTGGTTTACATGTGTTTGGGTCATTTAATATATATGTGGAACACCATTTCAGAATTGTAGAAAAAGGCTGTAGATTTAAGCACTCTCACTGAAAACTCACTTTTTGTTTAAAACCGGTTCATACACAAAGTAACTCATATTATGTAGGTTGACCGGCTCCAATAATTTGAATTTTTTTATTCATATATATTAACCAATCAGCAACGTCGTATGAGACGCTCAGTTTTCTTTGAAGTTGCAGACGGTAAATATTTCTTAAGCTATGGTTTTGGAGGCTCACTTTAGAATATGATAACGATATTTTGCCTCCTTGAAATGGATATTTATAAATTGGAAAAATATAATTATTAGCCAATAACCTTGACATTAATATATTTAATTTTTTCTGTAACCGATTATTTCATTATAAATATGATCGATTATTGTTCGCTACTACTCTATAAGTGAAGCTTTGACTAGTGGATTTGTTCACTTGTTATAAAAACGAAACTGAAATTCTCACAGTTAATACACATTTCTTGCATATTTATTCGAGTTTATAATATTACAAAAAGTGTTTAGCGATATTGACACATAAGAGAAACACATGCAGGCTAAGTTTGTTTATTAGCGTCAACAACTTCCTCTGCTTATTTCATGGGGCTGGCATGTCTAATTTATACGCATAGATAAAACATAAATCGTATCACATACATCCTGACACGTGTAGATGCTTTCTTTTTTTTCTATACTAGCGCAATTCATTTGATTGCACTATAAAAAAGAAGATACACAAAATGTGTGTGAAATTTTTTGCAAAGTATCTTTGTATATTATTTGTATTTCAATCTGAAAGTAAAATAATACTCAAATAATAAGAATTATTGAAATTTGTAGAAACGTCTTTAAAGATTCATTTATTTCTTCGATAATACACACATAAACCGCTAGATACACATAACCACACTCACACACACACACACACACACACACACACACACACACACACATGCACATAATTTGACTGAGTTTGAACTTGTGTATCTTATTAGTTCTTATTTCACTGTTTCTATCAGTCTATTCATGTCTATTTTAATCTATCAATGTCTATCAGTTTATTCGTATCTTTTTATTAGTACCTACAACCTGAAAGCATATGATGACGACAAAGTAAATGTTTATCTTATTACTTAAGACGATACAGTGAATTAGGGTTAAATTAAAAATTAAATTATTACCGAAAAATGAATTTTGTTTTTAAAAAAAAGCATGTAGAATAAGAGAGAAAATTGTATGACTAATTTTATCACGAATGATCCGTTAAGTTTTAAAAACACTAAAATCAGTTAATTAAAGATTTGTTTGAATATTTTGGAAATTATTCGGGAATAATATAAAGTTCGTTGTTTTTCATTTGTGGAAATATTTTTAGGTCTGTCTTTGAAGTAAAATTAGTTAAGTCCACCCCCTAAGTTTCAATCAAAACAGCAATTAAAATAGGTACCCCCACAGAAGACACCATACCTAAGATTTAAGATTAATTTCTAAAAATGAAAAATCTTTCTTGGAGATTTTATTTAAATTTAATTTCAAGCTAATAGATTCAATTTAATATTTCCAATTGGCAAAATACTTTGCTTTATTGCAAAAAAAAAAAATCTAATTTAAAACTGATCTGAAATGCCTGGAAGATTTTTTTTATTTGTGATTAACGTCTTTTTTTCATCGCAATTTAATTCTCTTTATTCAAATATTTCCAAAAATAAAACACACTTTCTGAAACTTTATTTGATGAATATTATCTATTATGAATTATAATTAATCTGATTTGAAATTTTAAAATATCGTAGAAATGCATTTTTTTTTTAAAAAAGCGGTAGCTGTGTATTTAAATTATTGACAGCTTGATGCTGCTCTTATGTTTTTATAAGGGTATTTACAGTAAAAGAAAAAAATGAATATAACGTGAGTGCCTTTTACATATAATTTTTAAGTACTCGGGTATCTTAAATAATTAAGAAAATATTCTCCGTAATCTAATGCTTTATTGAATTTTAGATAGTTTTTGTTTTAAATTTGCTAGATTTATCCTTTTTTATTTTCTGCTAATGTCGTATAAGTACAAAAATCGGCACGTTTATACACATACCAAAAAAAAAAAAAATCAAAATTCTTTTAAAAATATTGGCGTTTGATAATTTTGTGATGTCAACGAACACTTATTGCCACTTTTGTAATGCCAACGAATACTTGTTATCACTTTCGTCTAGCTCGTTGTAGTAGAGACTTTGTAATCGCAGATACAAAAAAGAATTTTTCGAAGTTTCATAAATTAAATGAGTTGTGTTAACAGACGTAAAATAGAAAATGCAAAATTTTCTAAAAAAAAAAGAAACGTTTCAAAAATAATTTCATTCATCTAAATACATAAAAACAGAGGATGTCTGTGTGTCTATGTGATAACTTTTCACTGGAGATCCATTCAACCGATTTTGACCAAACTTGGCACATATATTGTACAATATAAGAGATAGGTTCTTAAAATCGATGATTTAAAAAAAAATCAATAATCGATAAAGCCAATCAAAATCGATAAATTCAACTTATTTCTTCCGATTTCGCTCAACCAAGGTATGTAGGTTACTTACATCATGATAAGATCGACGATACCTCATTTTTATTTCGACGACACGGCGTTTAGCGAAAAACCGCGAAAAACGAAAAATCGATTTCAACACAAATTTTAAACTAAAAACTCCCTCAATTTTCAAGCAATCTAATACAAACTTACTCATTTATAGCCAAGAATAAGTTGATTGTTTAACAGTCTTTTAATTAAGTCCGCCCATATAGTGAAAACCCGCCTAAATAGCGTAAAATGGTGATTTTTACTGGTTTGTTTCTTATTTGCCGTTAATCTTTCAACCAGTTTTCATCAGATATAACG